ACCTTCCTGATGTCTGAGGTAGTTGCCTATTTCCTACTTGGTCCAAGGACTAATGTCCACGCTCTGGTCATAGGCCTTTGTATGATGAGGATTAAAAACACTTACAGACTCTCTTCGTTTAGAAGATCAGCTTAATACAAATTTCCTCATCTCCATTTGCCTTTGTCCTGCAGTATATATATATATATATATATATATATATATATATATATATATATATTTACACACATACACACACACATATATGAGGGTGTACATGTATGTGTGTGTTAGCGCGTGACATCTCGTAACCTGTCCTGTATGCAAGTTGGTCCAATCTCGAATGTTTACTGAAACACACATAAACCTCTCTGTCCACAAAATGATCCAATGTCGACAAAATATTTCTTTCTCATAAAAATTATACTTAAAAAACAGTAACAACAACAACAACAATAATAATAATAATAATACACGTTTAATTTTTTTTATCGCAAATACAGTCGTTGACCTTTGCCCTGTTCCCTAAAACGATATTAATAATTCGTCAGTCTTACACTACAACTACGGCGATACGAACGTTACCATTTTCTCTATTTCTTGAAAAGATATTTTAGGTCTAACATGATCTTCCAAATCTTGCTACATAACTACCTCCGTACTTTCACTTTATATTCGAATAATAATAATAATAATAACAATAATAGTGATAGGGATATTAGTAAACAGAATAAAACCTGCCGGGTTATGGATTTCGCTGTTACGGTAGACCACACAATAGAAAAGAAAAATAAGTACTTCGATTTTTGCAGAGAATTGAGAGAGTTGAGAAATATTAATTTGTCAGTAGTGCTAGTCATTATCAGAGAACTAAGGGCAATTCCTAAAAGGCCGGGGCGGGGGAATCGAAGTCGCTGTAAATTAAGGGAAGATTTGGAACCATTCAGGTGACAGTGTTACGGAAAACATTTAGAATATTAAGAAGCGTGCCTGAGCATTGAGGAAACTTGCTGTCACTTGATCCCCAGTATAAGTCATCTGCTACTGGCAGGAGCACTCAATGAATAAAGATTAAGAAGAATAAAAAGAAGGTAAAATTAGAGGAAATGGAAATCCGAAGGTAGGTTGAGGCTGAAGAGGCTGCGCTATGCTGAGACAAGTAAAAATAATGAAAAGATAAATGGAGATTTGATAAAAACTTTCTGTAATTTTGCCCTCATCTACAATCCATAAATAGCTGACAGGAACATGAATAATAATAATAATAATAATAATAATAATAATAATAATAATAATAATAAATCAGGCTCTTGCTTGAGAGCTGAGAAATGCGGGTAATTCTTCACAGCTAGGACCCACTAGTCCACGAATAAATGCATCGACTCATCCTCATTCCTTTCATATTTCATTGATGAGAAGGAAGTTCCACTCAGACAGCTTCTTCCCCAGAACTGTTGCATCGTGGTAATGGCTACAATCTTAACCTCTTCAAGTCTAGGATCAACCGTTTTATCCTATATATCATCATAATATTGCACGACCTTACAACAGCCTCATTTAGTAAAGCACTACTTTGAGTGGCTCTTAGGCCTTATATTGGGTGATCAATAGTAGAAGTAAACAAATAAGTAAAAGTTAGAGCTGTGCCAATAACACACAGTGCATTTGAAATCATGTAAAAAATAAATAGATTCGGAACTGAATGAATTAGAAATTCGAGAAAATGCCCAAAACACGGCGGTGATGTGCATGTGGGGTCTGCAATGCTATTGGGGAAGGTGCTGTAGATTTTAGACTTGCTGTCACTCATTCTTCGGTGATAAACGCCACTCATTTAGTGCGAATATGACAACTGACTTAACATCAACATGACCTCTGCGAGGTCATAGATTCTATCATGTCCTAAACAATACTACATCTATCCCATAATACTTCTTACATATGCATGCATGCAGGATGTTTCAAAAAATTTCTACACATTTTGAAGCTTTCTCAATAAATAATTAAAGCAACTAAAACCAATTATATATAATTTAAATAATGCATATGAAAACAGTATTTATTATAAGTGAATGCGCTTGAGATTTTGCCATTGCATGTTTTCAAATTGATGTCCGTTCTAATCCAGACGTTGCTAGCAACGCAACACAGTGGAATCACAAACAGCAATCAACATTTCCATAGGTTTCTTGGACTACTTTGAAAAGTTTCCATCAGCTTTTCTTGCTTCACAGGACGTGGTCGATATCCGTGGTCTTCCGCAACAGCTTTTAGACACATCGTGTACAGTACAGTCACCTTCAAACTTAAGTCGCGTGGATATAGATCTGAATAAATCTCTCTTCTATGTCGTCTTTGAATTCCAACTCGTATTTCTAGTAACATTTCAGGATTAATTTTCGTTGTCCAAAGCTAAGCCTGGATGACATTTAGTAATACTAACGTGTAAATCTGAAAAGAAAGCAAATCGACTTGAGCTAAACGCTATAAAAGTGTATATACATTTTTGAGATGCCCTGTATTGCAAATACAAGATGTAAACTCTAGCTTAGGACAGATGGTAACTCGTTGTTGCGTAAGATCCAGTCAGCGGCCTATGTAGATCATTAGTGAGTAAGGTAGTCATTTGTTATCTTATATTTTGGGGCTTATACCAAAAGTTAGCTACATTTAGTAAATTGTGGCTTTTCAAAGATAGAGATCATAATAATGAATTCAGTGCTGAGGTTGAGTTATTGAAAACCTTACTTTTTCGTTTTTCTTTTCTATTTGTAAGAAGTAAAGAAAAAAGTCTTAAAAAACACTAAAGAACTGTAGTGACTTAAACGGAAACGGAATGGAATCGAGTCAAATACGAGGATTGAATTGTTTTTCGGTCATCAATTATTAATCAGTTTTCAGTAACGTGAAAATGCACAAACTCACACGCACGTGGTTGGGGGAATGGGGGAGACAGAACAAGAGGCCCAGCCAGAATTGCACATGCTCGCTAACCTTGCAAAATAAGAAGCGTAACAATATTTGATTTCACTTGTGCAGATAAAAATATTTGTCTACATCTATAAATATACTTTTCATGAATACAAATAAGAAATCTGGAATTTCGTGAATCGGCTTTCATGAACAGTCTTTAGGCACGTTTTGTTTAATAGAAATGTCTTAAAAAGTTCATTTTAACCAGACCACGGTTTGCCTTCGTCTATGTATGTAGAAGTTATGTTGTCGATTGTGCGTGCGTGTGTGTGTGTTGTGAAAGCGCGGGCGCACTGAATAAAAACTTATAGATACATAGGTATAAACAGACTAGGATAGATAGATAGATAGATAGATAGATAGATAGATAGATAGATAATATAGGCTAAGATAGATAGATAGATAGATAGATAGATAGATAGATAGATAGATAATATAGGCTAAGATAGATAATATAGTCCTAGATAGATAGATAGATAGATAGATAGATAGATAGATAGATAGATAGATATGAACAGACTAGAATAGATACATAAATTATATGGCGCCAATTTACTAAGTGAGGCGAACCTGACGATCTGCTTAGAAAATCAGCTGGAATTTATCTAGGCTCGAACTCTGGGAGCGGTGAGTCAACAACGCAACTGTTTCAACCACGAAGCCGACCATTTGATAGATAGATAGATAGATAGATAGATAGATAGATAGATAGATAGATAGATTGCGTGAGTGAACAGTTCACTGTATAATAAGAGAGAGAGAGAGAGGTGGGAGATGGAGAGAGTAGGGGTGCTCAAAGAGGGTAGCAAAAAAAGAGAGGAAGAAATGTTTCAATATGACCTCAATTTTTTCTCTTTCACAGATGACAGTAAAACGTTAGATGATATTGTCAACGATGTGAATAGACATTGAACGCATCTCCGGAGCCTCACGACGACAATTCAATTCTATGACCTTTTACTAAAATAAGTGGAAATGTATGGGTTAAGTCACATATTTTACAAACATTATATCGATAAGCACAATATATATATATATATATATATATATATATATATATATATATATATGGAGAGACAGAGAAAGAGACAGAGAGAGAGACAGAGAGGATGAATGGATGGTTCTGTGCAATTATATATAAATATATATAATTATTATTTAAAAATATGATAAAAATATAAAAAATAAAAAAATAATTATAAAAATATAATTATAATTTAGGCTCTACTTCTGTATCGAGCACTGTTTTTTAAAAATAAAAATAAATACTAAAGAATTTCGGATTATTTACCTAACGAGTTCTTTCCTATTTTCTACATATTTGCATATGTATATATATATATATATATATATATATATATATATATATATATATATATATATATATATATAGCTTTCACAGATAAATTTCTATTTCTGACACGAATTCAGTCCACACCAGGGTTGATAAGACACACGACCGGTCGGTATTTTTGTCTGCCTAAATAGACTATTCCCCATATGAGGTGATTTGGGATTTTATTGTTTATTAATTATATGGATCTGTAATAATAAATGCATTGATCTCTTTTTGTGGATCAGTTTTAATATTTTATATTAATAGGATCCACTTGGATTATATAACAACGATTTTTTTCCTTTATTATATATAATATATATATATGTGTGTGTGTGTGTGTGTGTGTGTGTGTGTGTGTGTGTGTGTGTGTGCGCGCGCGTGTGTGTGTGTGTGTGTGTGTGTGTGTGTAAATAGATCTCATATATTTTATCTTCTCACTTTCTGTCTGTCTTTCTCTCTCTGTCTCTCTCTCTCTGTCTCTCTCTCTCTCTTTCTCTCTCTCTCAGTCTTTATCTATCTATCTTTCTCTTTCTATGTCTATCCTGCCAATGTGCGTCGGCCCGATAGTTAAAACTGCTGTAAGTTTTGATTACTGGTAAATACCATATTTATAATGATGATTTTAAACGTTAGCCATCTTTCTTCGAGGGGGAATGGCGCTATATAATCTGCATATCTTTTGTTATTATATTCTTATATTCATCTACCTATGAAAAATTGCGATAAACAGCTGGTGTAAGTAAATATTTATCACAGTGTATGTCGACCTACTTCTCTTTCGATGTATTTGATTCTACACAGATAGCTGGAGGGTTGCTTTTACAACATACCAACCACTATTGAGTTATAAAGGCGAAAGTTTTGTATGAAGCACCCAGTGAGAATCGAACTCAATACTCAGCAGTAACAGGTAACCAGATGAGACTAAAGAATCATTAAGCTACATTGAAACGCAAAGATAGATTGTTGCGAGCATAAAAAAGCAGTGTTTACATAAATACAGGAATCCACAAAAATAATGTTTGAAGTAATAAAAATATGATAAAAAAAAAATAAAATCTATTAATTTGTAGATCACTTTGTTTGCGCTTGGGATACGAAACGAAAAATTATATTTTTATAATTTTCATGTTTCAATACTATGATTGTACTTCTTCAGGCGATGGTAAGTAACTCTAAGAGTTACTTACCATCGCTTAAAGAAATACAAGCATTTGTGTAGCGATTTCAAAATGTTTTTACTATAATCTCTTATAATAATAATAATAATAATAATAATAATAATAATAATAATAATAATATATTGCTCTATTTTGTATTGAGCACTTTTTAAAAAAATAAATGCTACGAACAGTAGATTTTACTCCATCTGTTCTTTCTCTCATTAGGATATAGATATATATATATATATATATATAAACATGTATGTATGTATGTGTGTGTGCTTGTGTGTATGTGTGTTCGTGCGTGTGTGTGTGTATGCGTGTGTGTGTCAAAATTCGGTTATAACTCAGAATATGTCTGTAAAAAGACATGAATAAATACAAAAGACACATTGGCTAAGGAAAGCTTTCCTTTTGTCTTTATTCATGCACACACACACACACACACATATATATATATATATATTTCCTATTTCACTCATAAAGTTTGGATCAACCCGTGATATGATTTTCATGCACTTTCAAACAGAGCCGTACGCTATGCTCACCTTCCCAGACTTATAACGTCAATGTTCCCATTCCTGACAACTGTGAAATTCGAAACGGCTTATAGCCGGAATCCTTGTGATATTAAATATTAAAACTGTCACACAAAAAGAGCTCAGTGTATTTATTATTAGCAAATAACTAGTACACAATAAAATCCCAAATAACCTCATATAGGGAATAGGCTTATTTCAATCGACGAAAAATTCGACGGTCTTATTCAACCCCGGTATAGACTCTGTATCGGGGTTGAATAAGAATGACAAATTTTTCGTCGGTTGAAATAAGCCTATTACCCATATGAAGTCATTTTGGATTTTATTGTGTACTAATATATATATATATATATATATATATATATATATATATATATATGTACATATATATTGCTATTGAGTATCTTTCGCCTAAAAATATAGCATGCATTAAAGAGCATGGAACACTGTCTTTAATATTTTCTTAAAGATCATTTTCTGCCTATATATATATATATATATATATATATATATATATATATATATATATTATTTCAGACTGTTGTCCTAATCTTTATTGCCATATTCACGACGTTTCGGCAGTTGTACGCTCCGGCTTTTTTCAGGTGACTGGAATTTTCGTGAATATGGCAATAAAGATGAGGGCAACAATCCGAACAATGTAAATAATTAAAATACCTCATCTCAGAATTATATATATATATATATATATATATATATATATATATATATATATATATATATATATATATATCTTCTTTTTTCATTTTCACTTCTTTTTTATATTCATTTTCATTTTGTATTGTCCCTCATCTTTTTCTTTTCTGATCTCTATTTACTATTTGTCTCTTGGTTTTACATTCGACCTTTTTAAAACACAGCAGACGACATTTTCTTCCCATTTTGATTGCAAGACATTTTTCTGATGTTCTCATTTCGCCTCTTTTTAGTTCCCCCATCACAAAAGATCATTTCCTGTCCATTCTTCTTGTTTTTATAAACTTTACACATTTTCTTCTATTCTCTTTTCATTTCTTTTTGTGTTTGCTTTACAATTCATGTCTCTCTCTCTCTCTCACTCTCACTCTCTCTCTCTCTCTCTCACACTCTCTTTCTCTCTCTCTCTCTCACTCTCTCTCTCTCTCTCTCTCTCACACTCTCTTTCTCTCACTCTCTCTCTCTCTCTCTCTTTCTTTTTTTTACCTAAATTTTATTTTTATTTTTCAGTTTTTGTTTCATTCTTTATTATCATTGCTTAATCTTGCATTCTTTCTTTCTTTCTTTCTTTCTTTCTTTCTTTCCTTCCTTCCTTTCCTTTTCTTTCTTTCTCTCTTTTCTTTCTATTTCCTTTCTTTCTTTCCTTTTCTCTATCTTTCTTTCTTTTTTCTTTCTTTCTTTCTTTCTTTCTTTCTTTCTTTCTTTCCTTCCTTCCTTCCTTTCCTTTCCTTTCTTTCTCTCTTTTCTTTCTTTCTATTTCCTTTCTTTCTTTCCTTTTCTCTATCTTTCTTTCTTTTTTCTTTCTTTCTTTCTTTCTTTCTTTCTTTCTTTCTTTCTCTTTAATTTCGGTTCTTTCCTTTTTCTATCTTTGTTCTTCTTTTTTTCTTTCATTTTTTCTTATCATTCTTTCCTTTGTTCTTTCTATTTAAATTTCTCTTTTCTCTTTTTTTTACGTCGTTAATTTCGTTCTTCTTTATTCTTTCTTTCTTTCTTTCTTTTCATTTTCCCTCATTGACCTTTAATCTTTTTTTCTTTTTATTTTCATTCTTATCTTTTTATAATACTGTAAATTGCTTTGTCGTTGGTGCATATATTTTATAATCTTGTAAATGTTTAATTATATTTGTAAATTAATATTCTAATAAATAAATAATGCCTACACTTTTGCTGTCAATTTTCGCGAAAAATTTATAAATCCAGTTTTATATGTTTGTTTGTTGTTTTTTTTTTCCGTTGTCTATGTTTGAGTTTTAATAAAATTTTCTATATAGCTTTTTAAAACAATAAAAATTACCGAAGGAATAAACAGTAAAGAAAAAAACACGTTTATTTGACATTTTAGTTTTTGTTTCGTTTTGGGTTTTTTGCGCGTACGTTTGTTAAACTTTGCCTCTTCTTTGTGTTCCGCTTCTGTGTTTCGACTGTAGAATTTGCTATTTGGATTGTTTCGTTCTTTATTCAGCACGCATTTCTCGATTCAACGTACCCCATATTTTCACAATAACATTTTATTGCCCTCAACAATGACATGACAACGATATCATACAAGAATCAGATTTGACTAAATATACAGTATTGCTGTCACATCGGCAATGTAGTTGCTCAATTCTGATGTTCCAGTCTTGATATAGTTAAATGTTTGGATGTGGTTTTAACAGACAACGAAGAAAATGAAACAAAAATCTTAAAACTCTTTGGAAAATCGGAAGAAGCATTCCAAAAAGTAACCAAATTATTAAAAGTAAAATATGGAAACAATGACAAGAATGCTGAACTGCTGCGTAATATCCATCTTCCTATATGGCTCTTTTGCAGGTTATTTAAAGCCAGAAAATATTTTTGGCTTGTAAGAATTTGGGGGGAGTTATGGGAGATAATAAGCATTTACTGATACAAGTTTTCTACTATTTGACACATAACTGGGCGAGAAGAGGTATATTCATATCTTTCTCATAATTATTTGCGCTTAAGTGAATATAATGGACCCGGCTGGAATTGAAACTCCATTACACCACCCGCACATCCATACTGGTATTCACCCATCTATGTTCTAAGCAGACCCAACGTTGCTTACCTTCGGTGATTGTACGAGAACATATGAGCAACGAGGAAAATGTTATCAGAAAGGACACTTGATGTCAGAATCAGAAATTGACAGTTGGAATTTCTGAGACACAAAATGAGGAAAGTAGGTTTTGAAAATTTGACACACACATGACTTATTTACGATAAGAGCGGCAGAGAGAAACAGCGTAAATTGATGGCAGAACAGGGACTAGGAAGGAGAGCAAGGGGACATACAGTGATTAAAGCTACAGGTTGCAGGAAGTTGTGGAGAGACATGATCGCTAGCTCCATGAAGGGAAAAGAAGTAGATATTTTCTTACTTTTTTCTCATTTTCCTTATCAACTTTTAAAACATTTTTCTTAAATTATCTTATAATTCAAGTATTATTTAACCTGCAACCTACCTTGACAATAGCAGACATTTTAGGCTTTAACATTTACAGTACGTGGCTGCAACGTTAAAACTACAAACGACAGCTTATTTTCTTTTCTATGATAACAGCTTACAAATTAAGATATTCTAAGTAGGAAAAAACAAAAACAGAAGAAAGGTTTATTTGTTTCTTTGACTGGTCTGTTAGCTGACTGGGATTTGAGGATTTTCTTTCTGGCTGGAAAGCACGGAACTACTTAAATTGACTTGTCCACTCTTGTTCAAAAAAAATTAGATAACATTGGGGGTGGGAAATTATTTTTTATAGATTAGTATTAGTAATAGACTTTCTCCCTCAGAATCGAAAGATGATTTTTTTATCATTTTAGAAGGGCGGGTCCTTTTGAAAATATAAATAATGACGTCATTGCTAACTGCGTACTACTCGTGTTGTCCTTTTCCCACAGTTCGTATTAGTTATACAGTTATCAATGACGTAAGCACAGTTTCAAAATTGGTATTTGTAAATAAAAACAAATTTAATACTATATTGCTATTATGAACAGAACTCCTAAAATGATAAGAAAAAATGCTCCACCATCGATTCACTGAAGCTCGCCAGTTAGGTTATGCGTTGCTCCCCTCTGTCTCGCTTACCTTCAATCTGTCCTGTGAGTATCAAATTTTCCAAGCCGTCGTTCCTCATCATATGCTTTAAATATTTCAACTGTCTCTTCCTGATGTTAACTATACGTGTCTTTTTTTCTCTATTTCGGAGATGAGGTATTGTAATTATTTACTTTATTTACATTGTTCGGACTTTTGTCCTCATCTTTATTGTCATGTTCACGACGTTTCGGCCGTTATACACTCCGGCCTTCTTCAGGTGATTGGAATAACTGAGAAATTCCAAACAACTGAAGAAGGCCGGAGCCTACAACGACCGAAACGTTGTGAAAATCACAATAAAGATGAGGATAAAAATCTGAACAATGTAAATAAGTGTCCTTTTATTGCCATTGTCCTTAGATCTTCATCGTTACTCACATATTTAGTCCATGGTATTTTTTTCAAAGTTCCTCTATATAAACCCATTTCTCTTGCTTCAAGTCTGTTCTTCATCTGTGAGGAGATTGTTTAGTATTCACTATCATATATGAGGACGGATATTATATAACAGTACTTCTTTTTTTGTTTCTAACGATATGTTCCTGTTTCTTAATACTTGGCTTAGCTTCTGGAAGGCATCTTTCGCTATCCCAATGTACCTTCGGATTTCCGTATCTCAGTTTCCATCCTTTGTTAAAATGCTTCCTAGATATTTAAATTTTCGAGCTTGTTTAATTTCGGTATCCCCGATTTGTAATTTACATGTTGGGCTGTCCCTTTTGCTAACATCTATGCATTCTGTCTTCTTGAGTTCAATCTTCAGTCCAATCCTTTCCTTTTATTTCGCGCTAATACACTCAGTTTTTTGAAGCCATCTTTCGCTATCCCAATAGGCCTTCGGATTTTAGTGTCGCACAATGCCTCCTCTGTTAAAACACTTCCCAGATATTTCAATGTTTGTACCCCTTTGAGTTTGGTATCCCCAATTTGTAATTTGCATGTTGGACTGTCCCTTTTGCTAACAACCTTACATTCAGTCTTCTTGCAATCAGATGTTTAATTCTTTCTTTTCGCTTTCCTTCATTACCTTCTGAAAAAGCCCTTGTAGTTTCCTTTCTGTGTTTGCTATCAATACTGTGTCATCTGCATATCTTATGTTGTTAAGATTGTGGTCGCCAATAATGAAACATGGTAGAACTTCTAATTCTCCAAGAATCGCCTCGTTGCATAGGTTAAAAAAGGTCTGGCGAGAAGAGGCATTCTTGTCTCATACCTCTTTTTATTAGCGCATATTTACTGAACTCATTTTCTATCCGTATGCAGATGGTTTGCTGTCATCTAGGTTCTAAATTATTCTAATATCTTTCCCATATATCTCAAGGTTAACTAGCAGTTCCTTGGGACGTACTTTATCAAATGCTTTTGCATAATCTATAAAACACAGCTACGCCTCCTTCTGCAATTTAATTGCTCTTTATGATATCAGTCTGAGCAAACAACTTGCTTATTTTTTTTACCAAACCAGATAAGCGTATACCAGGGACAAGCATGAAAGCCAAATGTGCGCTACGGCTACGTGGTGATCTCCTTCTTCTTCTTCTTCTTCTTTTAAATGTCTTGTCCCTTCAAGACGTTGGCGATCATGACTTTTCACAATTTCCTGTCCTTAATAAATGGTGTCTTTTTGTTATCTTTCCTAAACACTGTTCCGCCATCCATTTATACAAGCTCGCTGGGTAGGTTATGCGTTGTTTCCTCTATCCCTCTTGCCTTCAATTTGTCCTGTTAGTTTCAAATATACCAAGTGAGTGTCTAATTTTATAAGCCCTCTTTCCTCATTATAATGCCCTAGAAATTTCAACTGTTTCTTTCTGGTGTTAAGTATAAGTTTCCTTTTTGTTTCAAATTTCTCGAAAACTTCGTTGTTGCTCACATGTTTCGTTCATAGTATTCTCAACATCTTTCTCTAGAAACACATTTCTGTTGCTTCAATCCTGGCGAGGATATTGTTTATAAGCTTTCATGTCTAATCAATGTGCTAATCTTCTTTGTCAGTCCCTTCAGGACGTCGCCGATCACAGCTCTTCGCTTCTAATGCTCTAAGTAACTTTGACATTTTGCTGCCCCTCTTTCTGTTTGTTCTGCTATCAATTGATATGTCAGCCTACTTCTTTTGCCATCAAAACGCCATATAAGAAATTCTCTAGACACTTTTTCCTCGGAAAATTAGACTCTTTTTGATTGTAAGTATAAGTTTTCCTTTTAGTTCTTATTTTCGTTAATATTTCCATCGTTGCTTACGAATTGTGGAATTCTCAACATCCTTCTGTAGAACCCAATTTATTCCGCTTCTTGTATATCTGTGAATAAATTGTCCATTATCCACCGCCATATTGGATTAATACGCAGCAGTTCAACACACTTTTCTTTGTTACCAAAGATATTTTCCTTTCCTATTCCGATATGACTTCGGCTTTCAGTGTCACATTTTTTCTATGTACTGTGTCCCTTCCGGACGCTGGCGGTCATGGGTCTCCACAATTTCCTATAACGTGTAGTACTATCCTTCACTACAGATGTTCTACCATCCATTTACAGGAGCTTGTTAGGATATTATACGCTGTTTACTTCTGCTTCTCTTACCTTCAGTAAGTACTGTGAGTGTCAAATTCCTCTTTCCACATTATATGCCCAAGGAATCTCAACTGCCTCGTTGATCACATCTTCCGTCCATGGCATTCTCAGTTTCCGTCTGTAGAACCACATCTCTGTTACCTCAAGTCTCATTTTCATC